CTGATGACCTGTAGGGGGGCTTTTCAAGCGTCACCTATATAAATGATAGGGTACTGACGTTTGTCACCATTTCACAAGCGCACGAAAATTTCAGGTTTGACATGTTGGGTATCTATTTACTCGCCGCAACCTTGTTTTGTATATTTTACCAAAAAATGTGGGTCATTTATTGCGTTTGTTTGCCTTAAAATTCACATTAGCGGGCTTTTTACTGAAATTTTGCGGTCATATAGTGCGACATAAAAAATTGAAACTACCACTATTTTATTCTCTAGGGTCTCTGCTTTCAGAAAATCTATCATGTTTGGGGAATTTTGTGTCATCTTCAGGCCTAAAATGATCTATTTAAACCCGTGCAAAAAAAACTGCAAGAACGGCTCTGGCAGACGTCTTGCAAATCGCACCTGAAATCAGCAGGTTACCCGATTTTGAAATCGTGCGACTTCACTGTTTACGACCCGGCCAAGGGAAGGGACTGACAGACATCATGGAACCAGCTAATTGGGTTTACAACCATGAAGTGTATCCAACTGTGCCCGATGCCCTTGTCACCCCAGCATACACACCACATGCCATTCAAAAAAACAAAGAGGGGGGCTGATTTGGAGTGAGAATGACATTTGCAGAGTATGATCCAAATTATGGCTGTCATTGTCCATATCTGTGCGCACAATTATCACACCATCCCACTGTTTGCATCAAGGTCGCGTGCTCTTGAGAGGAGGACTGAGGCAGGTTGCTGTGATGCTTTCAGGAAGCTATCTACAGTCCCTCCCACCAGCCACGATCTGCCTACATTGCATAGAGAACCACAGAGAGCCAGTGATGACATCATTGGATCAAAAATAAGATTTGCAATGAAAGTGAATATGTTTTATTCAAAAATGTCATCAGCATGTTGATCAGGAGGAACCAGGGAAGGCGAAATATAGACAGATTAAATGTTCACTAAGAGACAAGCCAGTAAATCAGTGACGACAGGAAATTCACCCCGGCGTATCTTTTATTCTGTTCAGGTTTTGTTTTTCTGGTTTTATTGAGAGAAATATGTTTCCTTTCCCTGCAGACGGTGGCCATTAGCTGTGATTACCTCATTAACCTCCGCAACATTTCTCCAGAGACCCAGGAATATGACGCCATCATGTCCCAGGTACGGTGCATAGACAGCAGATAATGGACAACAGATAAGTCCTGTGAGCTAGACTTGGGGGGGGAAGGGGGGAGATTGAAGGACAGTGAGGCCCGAATAGTGATATCAGCCAATCAGATTTCATCTCTCACTAATCAGACTGCAGGAGGAAGTAATCTGATTGGTTGTTATAAAGTTACTGCGTGCCGTTACTGCGTGCCATTGGTTCTCTTTATTGGGCGATCCTACTAGAGGCGCCACTCTCTGTCCTCATGCACACTGATAGCGCTGGTAACAGACGCTGTGGAAAGTCACATGAAAAACGGGAAGTTTTCTGCTTTTTTTTAGTGTTTTTGCATTAGCATTTAGCCGCGTTTTTTCCACGTTTGCTTTACCAAAAAAAAAATTATTTTTTGGTTACAAAAAAAAAAAAAAAAAAAAACACCAGTTTGTGGCGGTTTACTGCGTTTTTCAGCGTTAGAGCGTTTTTTTTACAGCTAAAAAACTCACGTTTGCGGTTTTTTTTTTAACGGGTTTTTTTTTTTTACAGTTTAAGGTAAAGAAAAGTCCAAGAATGCCGGTTTGTCGCAATTTACCTCGTTTTACCACGTTTTTACAGCTAAAAAACTCCTCTAGAGGCCCACTAGTTCTGGGTTTTTTTTCCAGCCACAAAACGTTGATTCCAGTGTATGGATACATAGGATAACATGCTGGGGGGTTTACTGGCTGTAGAACAAAAACGTCAAAAGCCAAAAACAGCCGCTGTAAAAACGTCCCGTGTGCGTGAGGACTAACAGGTAATGGGCGAGATTCACATACTGTATATGTGGCCGTGCAGGTCGCGTTTTGTGCAGGCACAAGAGCCAATTCATTTGAATGAACTCCCATGCCCGTGACACGCAGAGAAGTCCCTGCACTTCTTCCAAAAATGCAGCCCGCACAGGAACCTCAGTTCCCAGTACGGTTGCGTTTTCCAGTGCGGGCGGAGTGCCATTAGAACTAAAGGCAGCCACCCGGAGGTCTGCATTCCTCTGTGCGGGTGGTGCGGCTAAACGGATTTTCGTGTGGATCCGCAGCGGCACCACCCGCACAGATGTCAAGCTAGCTTTTCTAACGTTGGTTTATTCAGAATCTAGTGCACATGTGCATGGTACCCAATCAGCTTCTTCAATTAAGCTTTGGCATGAAAACCTGGAAGCTGATTGGTTTCTACGCAGAATTGCACCTGATCTTGCACTCTCCAGCTTCCCCCTATGGTCTACACACTATGGGACATATACTGGAATGGGACTTTTTTTCTTTTTCTTCTTTAAATACTAGTAACGGTGGTGATCAGCGACTTATAGCAGGACTGCGATATTGCCGCAGACATTTTTAAACCGGCGCTTTGTGGGAACCAGTGACACTAATACAGTGATCAGTGCTAACAATATGCCCTGACACTACTAATGACACTGGCTGGGAAGGGTTTGAACATCTGGGGTGATCAAAGGGTTAACTGGGTGTCTAGCTATGTGCTTGGTGTACAGTAGGTGGTGCTTTTAGCAGGGGAAGTGAAGGATCGTGTTTTAGCAGGGGAAGTGAAGGATCGTGTTTTTAGCAGGGGAAGTGAAGGATCGTGTTTTAGCAGGGGAAGTGAAGGATCGTGTTTTAGCAGGGGAAGTGAAGCATCGTGTTTTAGCAGGGGAAGTGAAGCATCGTGTTTTAGCAGGGGAAGTGAAGCATCGTGTTTTAGTAGGGGATTTTTTAACCGGCGCTTTGTGGGAACCAGTGACACTAATACAGTGATCAGTGCTAACAATATGCCCCGATACTACTAATGACACTGGCTAGGAAGGGGTTGAACATCTGGGGTGATCAAAGGGTTAACTGGGTGTCTAGCTATGTGCTTGGTGTACAGTAGGTGGTGCTTTTAGCAGGGGAGGTGAAGGATCGTGTTTTAGCAGGGGAGGTGAAGGATCGTGTTTTAGTTAGCAGTGGAAGTGAAGGATCGTGTTTTAGCAGGGGAAGTGAAAGATCGTGTTTTAGCAGGGGAAGTGAAGGATCGTGTTTTAGTAGGGGATGTGAAGGATCGTGTTTTAGTAGGGGATGTGAAGGATCGTGTTTTAGTAGGGGATGTGAAGGATCGTGTTTAAGCTGGGGAAGTGAAGGCTCGTGTGTTAGCAGGGGAAGTGAAGGCTCGTGTGTTAGCAGGGGAAGTGAAGGCTCGTGTGTTAGCAGGGGAAGTGAAGGCTCGTGTGTTAGCAGGGAAGTGAAGGCTCGTGTTTTAGCAGGGGAAGTGAAGGCTCGTGTGTTAGCAGGGGAAGTGAAGGCTCGTGTGTTAGTAGGGGAAGTGAATGATTGTGTTTTAGCAGGGGAAGTGAAGCATCGTGTTTTAGCAGGGGATGTGAAGCATCGTGTTTTAGCAGGGGAAGTGAAGCATCGTGTTTTAGCAGGGGAAGTGAAGGATCGTGTTTCCAGCTTTGCAGCTGTCAGAACAGAGTTCTGCCTTGTTTGCACTGGCAGAGCTGTTTTCTGTGACCCGCCCCTCCATTGACTTGTGCCAGTGGACACCTATTCACCGGCATTCACAGATCGGCTTATAGAGCTGTACTTGCCCAATACTGAGCAGAATATTCTACTGTGTATCCTTTTGTGACTTTTTTTTTTTTCAGCAGCTGAACCAATTTTTATCTTTTTTATATCTTAAAAAAGTTGGGGGCTAATTTAACAGTAAAAAAAATTCATGAACTTTTTGAGCTCCAACTACAGATTAGAACTCCAGTCAAAAATACAAAAAAAAAAAAAAAAAAAAAAAGGAATAGTCCATTATAAGATAAAATAGCTGCTTTTGCGGCAATACTCCAGAGCTTTCACCTGCAGTGCTTCTATTCCTCCAGTAGGTGTCCTCAGTATTTAACGTTTACTGACAGCCAGCATCATTCAGCCACCTCCTTCAGTGCCCACTCTGTCATGGGCCCTCCCCCAGCCTATGACTAGGTAGTGAAAAGCGGAGCAGCCCAAGGATGAGCTCATCTCTTGGTTGCTCTGCTGTCTCCTCCTATCAACACGATCCTTGCTTTGCAGCACAACTTAAGGGCTCTGTGTGCTGCTTCTCCTACTCCCAGTTTGAGCTCAGCTGTGCAGGGACTACAAGAGGCTGATGCCAGGTCCAAATGATCGTTAGCAGTACTGTTGGATGCCGGTACCCAGGTCTCCGTATTTTCAGACCAGTCTATAAAGTGTGCACAATACAAATCTAACCACAAGATTTCATCTGAGCCATGCTTACAATTTCTGATCATTTCCTTCAGCAGATTGTAAGGTAACCATACACATTACAATCTGACCATGCTGCCTATAGATTTACCACAACCATAATATAAGGGCCAGCCTAATCTATCCAGCCAATTTCTATCCAATTAGGGTGGCTCTTGCCCTACATAGTTGTAGATAGATCTTAGCACTCATTTACATGTGAGGCTGGGGGATGGTAAAATTCCACAGTTGAGCCACCCTTTTACTGTTCCTATTCGCTACTTCCTTTAAATAAGAGGCAGCAGCCGGGGGTGTACACATGCCACGGCCATGATGCTTTGGGGCCTGCTGCAGGAATTATACCCCCTGTCACTTTTGGCAGGCATAGCAACTGCGGAACACAAGCCATTCAAGTGGATGGGGCCGCCTGCAAGCGCCACACCACCGTGCGCAATGCGGGATTCAAGAGGTAAAGCAGGCGGTGAGGAGGTGGTGTAGTGCCTTCTTGCTGCCTATCAAATGCTCTCTGAAGAGTGGTCTGAATGCAGGTCACTTTTCAAGGAGCAAATCACATGTGAGTGAGCCCAACAGGAGATTGTGCAATGAGATTGTAATGTGTGCTGATTGCCTGATGCCATATCCCTGTTTTCCCACAGATACACAGCCGCTCTGCCCGCCATCTGCTGGACCTTTGCTGCACCAACCGGGGCACCTTCATCAAAGTGGGGCAGCACCTGGGCGCCATGGAGTACCTGCTGCCACCAGAATATACCCGTACCCTCAGTGTTCTGCACAGCCAGGCCCCGCCCACTCCGCTCCCAGATGTCCTGCGCGTCATCCGAGAGGAACTGGGGAAAGAGGTGACACCGCCGTGCTGGTCCGGGTGATATCATGGTGTCTGGGTGGCAGGGGGTTAATCGCATAGTGTTTGGGTGGCAGGGGGTTAACCCTGTGATGTCTGGGTGGCAGGGGGTTAACCTTGTGATGTCTGGGTGGCAGGGGGTTAACCTCTTAGTGTCTGGGTGACAGGGGGTTAACCCCGTGGTGTGGGGGTAGCAGGGGGTTAACCTTGTGATGTTTGGGTGGCAGGGGGTTGACCTCGTAGGGTGTGGGTTGCAGGGGATTAACCTTATAGTGTCTGGATGGAAGGGGGTTAACCCCGTGGTGTCTGGGTGGCAGGGGGTTAACCCTGTGGTGTCTGGGTGGCAGGGGGTTAACCCCGTTGTGTCTGGGAGTTAACCCTGTGGTGTCTGGGTGGAAGGGGGTTAACCCTGTGGTGTCTGGGTGGAAGGGGGTTAACCCTGTGGTGTCTGGGTGGAAAGGGGTTAACCCGGTGGTGTCTGGATGGAAGGGGGTTAACCCGGTGGTGTCTGGATGGAAGGGGGTTAACCCCGTGGTGTCTGGGTGGCAGGGGGTTAACCCCGTGGTGTCTGGGTGGCAGGGGGTTAACCCCGTGGTGTCTGGGTGGCAGGGGGTTAACCCCGTGGTGTCTGGATGGAAGGGGGTTAACCCCGTGGTGTCTGGGAGTTAACCCCGTGGTGTCTGGGTGGAAGGGGGTTAACCCTGTGGTGTCTGGGTGGAAGGGGGTTAACCCCGTGGTGTCTGGGTGGAAGGGGGTTAACCCCGTGGTGTCTGGGTGGCAGGGGGGTTAACCCCGTGGTGTCTGGGTGGCAGGGGGTTAACCCCGTGGTGTCTGGGTGGCAGGGGGTTAACCCTCTGATGTTGTTCCAGATTGCTATAATTCTCTTTATTGTGTCTTTTATCATGAGAGCGGCGGTGTGGCGTGGCGGGGCCCAGGGACGGGCACTGATGGATGGCTGTTTGTATGCTGAGCATTGGCTTATTATGAGCTGTAATTAATCAGCCATCCACACATCTGATAGGGGCATCAGGATGGGGTCACAATGTATTAATAAATCGCCCTCCTCGTGCCTAATAAAACGATATCAAACTGAGATTTATTGCCGCTGTTATTGCAGTCTGGAGAGGGAAGAGATTAGCTCAATTATTCACCAATGAAAAAAAAAAAATCACACAAACCGAACGAAAATCTGAGCGCAGCGGAGGGAGGGGGGCAGCGGGGTGTTTATAGGTGCCGGACGTCTGGGTGGGCTGTAGATTTGGATCCACAGGTGATTAATGCTGCATAACAGCTCAGCCCGGTGTCATCATTATCCTTGTCAATCCTTTAGGCCAATGAAGTCTTTGAGCGGTTTGAGGAGACGCCGTTGGGTGCGGCTTCTTTGGCACAGGTGCACCGCGCAGTTCTGAAGGACGGACAGACGGTCGCTGTGAAGGTTCAGCATCCCAAGGTGCAGAAACAGAGTTCCCGCGATATACTACTCATGGAGGTCAGTTATCACTCCATCACACGGAATTCTGGGGGCTACTGGCCTATCGCTCTTCTGTCCTTTATATGGTTCTAGTATTTATTACAGGTACTTGTATAGCGCCTTCAATTTACACAGCACTTTACATATATATTGTACATTCACAATCCCTCAAGGGGCGTCCCTAACCCTCAAGGGGCGTACAATCTAAGGTCCCTCACCCTCAAGGGGCGTACAATCTAAGGTCCCTCACCCTCAAGGGGCGTACAATCTAAGGTCCCTAACCCTCAAGGGGCGTACAATCTAAGGTCCCTCACTCTCAAGGGGCGTACAATCTAAGGTCCCTGACCCTCAAGGGGCGTACAATCTAAGGTCCCTGACCCTCAAGGGGCGTACAATCTAAGGTCCCTGACCCTCAAGGGGCGTACAATCTAAGGTCCCTGACCCTCAAGGGGTGTACAATCTAAGGTCCCTGACCCTCAAGGGGCGTACAATCCAAGGTCCCTGACCCTCAAGGGGCGTACAATCCAAGGTCCCTGACCCTCAAGGGGCGTACAATCTAAGGTCCCTGACCCTCAAGGGGCGTACAATCTAAGGTCCCTGACCCTCAAGGGGCGTACAATCTAAGGTCCCTGACCCTCAAGGGGCGTACAATCTAAGGTCCCTGATCCTCAAGGAGCGTACAATCTAAGGTCCCTAATCCTCAAGGAGCGTACAATCTAAGGTCCCTAACTTACATTCATACATACACATACTAGGGCCAATTTAGACAGGAGCCAATTCACCTACCAGCATGTCTTTTGGAGTGTGGGAGGAAACCGGAGTACCCGGAGGAAACCCACGCAGGCACAGGGAGAACATGCAAACTCCAGGCAGGTGGTTACGTGGTTGGGATTCAAACCAATGACCCTAGTACTGCCAGGCGGGAGTGCTGAGCATTTAGCCACTGTGCTGCCCGTAGTATAACTGGGTCTGTTATTATTATCATATGGTTCCATCTGTTGGCTTATCATTGCCCCGGCCTTATTATGGAGTGGATGTAGGCCAGAAGTGGCTGCAAAGAGGCCCCAAGGGATCAGCTGCACTGAGATGTAACAAAGGAGGAAGAAGGTTGAAAACAGGCATTTTGTTTGTAATCGGAATTCCAACCTTCCCCTCGGTCTTGCACAGTTGTAGAGGCCTCTCTTCTACTCTGATTTCACCGCACACTGTGAGCCTCTCATCATGTGCATTAGAAGCTACAGCAAGTCACACAAAGCCTGCCTTATTTCCTGGCTGGAGGGCGCCCATCATCATCTAGGGCTTTCCTCCCCCGTGGCCTTGGCCTGTTCCTTTTATTCAAAGGCTTCAGGCATGGAGGCTCAGCATCACATGTGGAAGTTACTTAGAGCGGTCTGCATGGAAATATATAGTCTGCGCAGGAATGGCCACTCCTCCAACCTGACATTCACCCACTAAAATAGAACTATAGGCAACACTTTTTTTTGTTTAATAGAATAAGGGAGGGTTATAACCCATTTCATTTTTTTGCCATCTGTGTCCCATTGGGGAGATTTCCGTTCACTTCCTGTCTCATAGCCAAAACAGGAAGTCTGAAAATTAAGGGAATCCCTTGGGGGCCCCCAGGTCACCAGAACTATGTCCCCATTGGAAGATTTCCCCTCTATCACTTTTCTGGGGACAACCCAACATTTGGATTTTTTTTCACTTTCTATGATAATGGTAAACAGGACAAAAAGAGAGGGTGAGTCTCCCTAATGGGGGCAGAGATGGCTATAAAAACCTGGCCTGACCTGACAAAAAAACAGTTTTGCGTTTAGTTGTACTTTAAGGTGGGGTAGGCAGCATTGAGAGGCGGAGATCTACCTGGACAAAGAGATCAAAGATTACATCATCACATCATCACATTGATGACTTACATCAGTCAGTTACATCATCACATCAATGATACTGTCAATGACATCATTATGTCGATGTCATAATCACATCGATGACATCATTGATTGCATCATCGCATCAACAACATCATTGATGACATCATGACATCAATGACCTCATCCCATCAATGTTATCATGACATTGATGAACTCATCATTGATGCGATGATGTCCTGATGACAGCATCAGGACATCACCGCATCAATGACATCATCGATGACAATAAAGAACGTATAGCATGTCACAGTAGTGTACTCCCGCCCCGGCCAACAATGGTATCGTCTACTCCTTTCACCACCCCCCTTCTCAGCAGTGTTCTCTGACCCCTTCACATCAATCTCCCCCCTTCCCCCCGCCGCGGCCCACAATGGTATCATCTATTCCATCCCCACCCCCTTCCTAGCAGTGTCCTATGACCCCTTCATACCAACTTTCCACACACACACACACACACACACACACACACACAGCAGTGTCCTATGACCCCTTCACATACACCCCCCCCTACACACACACACACACACAGCAGTGTCCTATGACCCCTTCACATACACCCCCCCCCTCCACACACACGCACCCCAGTGTCCTATGACCCCTTCACATACACCCCCCCCCTACACACACACACACACACACACAGCAGTGTCCTATGACCCCTTCACATACACCCCCCCCCTCCACAAACACGCACCCCAGTGTCCTATGACCCCTTCACATACGCCCCCCCCCCCCCCCTCCAGAAACACGCACCCCAGTGTCCTAGCTCCATTCTCCTACCTTATGCAGGTGTACAGTAGAGTGGAGGGCGGGAGGCAGCACAGTCCTGGTAGAGGGTGGGAGCTGCTGGAATTCACTTTTATATTAACCAGCTGGTGATCGGCTGCTAGGACCACCCTGTGTCCTAGCAACCAATCACCTGCTGGTTAACTTGAAAGATTAACTGGGGCAGCTCCCGCTTCTGCTTTCCATCCAGGACTGAGCTGCCTCGGCTGTACTGTGAGGATGAGGGCAGCAGAGGCTGGAGGGAAGGACTGGCCAAGCAGGGATGTGTTCACTATCTAGGCAATGGGTAGATCACGATCAACAGGTTGCCAACCTCTGCTTTAAGGCATTTTGATATTCGCATAACTTCTCCCAAATACCAGCCCACTGCTTCAATCAGGGCTCCTGAGAGGAGTACTGAGTCTACACTGAACACCCTTTCAACTGCTCCCACCCACCATGAGCTGCCTGCATTGCATAGACAAACACATAGATCCAGTGATGACATCGCTGCATCTAAATTAGGGCATGTCATGAAAATGGAAAGGTTCTATTAAAAATGTAATTGGCGTGTTTAATGAAGGGGGCAGCAGGGGGTGCAAAATACAGTATAGGCAACTTAATACATGAAATAAATACCTAAAAAAAAAATATTATTATTAATACATAACAATAATCTAATTAAATAATAGATAAAAGTAGAAATGTCAGACACAAAGTACACAGAACAAACCAAACACCATCCACTTGGAGTTTGTATCTTTTGTATATTGTTGTGTGATATGATCATGCGTTCCCCGGTTGTGGTCGGGATCTTGGCGACTGTCAGCCTATGGTGGCCGTCCGTTGTATTATTAGGATCCTGGTGGTATATAAATCTCCGGCCTGTCCTCTCCAGGTCCTCCTCCACATTGTGAAGAAGATTTTCCCGCAGTTCGAGTTCATGTGGCTCATAGAGGAGGCGAAGAAGAACATTCCGCTGGAGCTTGACTTCCTGAACGAGGGGCGGAACGCAGAAAAATTAGCGGACATGGTCTCCAGGTTTCCCTTCCTCAAGGTGAGTGAAGGCGGTTTTATTAGAGGGCCAATGGCCACTACCCCGTACTCACCCCAACCAATGGCCACTACTCTGTACTCACCCCAACCAATGGCCACTACTCCGTACTCACCCCAACCAATGGCCACTACTCCGTACTCACCCCAACCAATGGCCATTACTCCGTACTCACCCCAACCAATGGCCATTACTCCGTACTCACCCCAACCAATGGCCACTACTCCGTACTCACCCCAACCAATGGCCACTACTCCGTACTCACCCCAACCAATGGCCACTACTCCGTACTCACCCCAACCAATGGCCACTACTCCGTACTCACCCCAACCAATGGCCACTACTCCGTACTCACCCCAACCAATTGCCACTACTCCGTACTCACCCCAACCAATGGCCACTACTCCGTACTCACCCCAACCAATGGCCACTACTCCGTACTCACCCCAACCAATGGCCACTACTCCGTACTCACCCCAACCAATGGCCACTACTCCGTACTCACCCCAACCAATGGCCACTACTCCGTACTCACCCCAACCAATGGCCACTACTCCGTACTCACCCCAACCAATGGCCACTACTCCGTACTCACCCCAACCAATGGCCACTACTCCGTACTCTTACTACTTGACATCTCTGCGGCTTTTGATACGGTTGACCATCCCCTCCTCCTCAAAAAACTCCACTCTCTTGGCCTCAGAGACTCCGCCCTCTCCTGGTTCTCCTCCCACCTATCGCAGCGCTCCTTCAGTGTTACCTATAACGCTTCCTCCTCCTCTTCACTCCCTCTTTCTGTAGGGGTCCCTCAAGGATCTGTCCTTGGACCCCTTCTTTTCTCAATCTACACCGCCTGGCGGTACCTCTAGCAATCCACAGGACAGGATTCCCCAGAGCGCGGAGTCTAAGCCCCAGTCTGCTTGTTCACCAGGGCCCCTGATGGTGGGGATAGACTTGGAGCAGACAATGACCAGGTCGCGGCCCCTGAGTACACCCGCCGGTTGTAGAGGGATCCGCCAGAGGTATATACTGGTAGAGAGCCTGACGTGAAGAGGCGGGAAGGCCTGAGCAGTGGTGACTGGATCCGTGCAGGACCGATGGATACAGAGTAGCAAGCGTGGTCAGACAGGCCGGCTCGGTAACAGTGGGGACAGCGCGGTACAAGGCAGCAGGCAAAGAGTAGTCAGGTCACTCGCCGGGTTCGGTAACAGGAGTTCAGATCAATATGGATATCCAGGAGAGAAGTCAAACGAGCCAGAGGTCAGAGCAGGAGATAGTCAGCACCGGTCAGGATCAAGCAAGGTCGGCAACAAATCAATCAGCAGATACACAGGAACAGGGTAAATAGACCATATGGCAACTAGTGTCTGTGCAGAGCTGGTTTAAATAACGCGCCCTGCGCTGTCATTGGTGCCAGGTGCGCGTCCTCGATTGCAAGTGCGCGAGCACCGTTGCCATCGCGGGCGCCCAGGTCCTAGTGCCTGCTGATTAGGGCGCATTGGCGTTTTGCGCATGCTGCAGACTCGTGCGCCGTCGCGCTTGCTGACACCTCCTCCCTTGGTCACTTGATAAACTCCCACGGTTTTAAGTACCATCTCTATGCTGATGACACACAAATCTATCTTTCTACCCCTCACCTCACCTCTTCAGTCTCCAATCGCATCACTAACCTATTAAGTGACATATCGGCATAGATGTCACTCCACTTCCTCAAACTCAATCTTTCCAAAACTGAGCTCTTCGTATTCCCCCCAGCCCGTGCCCCCTCCGCTGACTTCTCCATCATCAAGATCAATAACACAATCATCAGTCCCACCCCTCATGCCAGGGTACTAGGTGTAATCCTAGACTCCCATCTGTCCTTTCACCCCCAAATCCAATCACTGTCCAAATCTTGTAGACTTCACCTCCACAACTTCTCCAACCTCCGCCACATCTCCAACCTCCGCAACATCTCCAACCTCCAACATCTCCAAGATACGCCCGTTCCTAACCTCGGAAACCACTAAGCAACTTATTCCCTCCCTTGTTATATCTCGCCTTGACTATTGTAACTCCCTCCTCATTGGCCTACCTCATCACAGGCTATCCCCTCTTCAGTCTATCATGAATGCTGCTGCCAGACTCATCTGCCTTACTAACCGTTTTGTATCTGCCACCCCTCTCTGGCAATCCCTCCACTGGCCTCCACTCAGTGTCCTCCATCCCTCTCTGCCAATCCCTCTACTGGCCTCCACTCAGTGTCCTCCATCCCTCTCTGCCAATCCCTCCACTGGCCTCCACTCAGTGTCCTCCACCCCTCTCTGCCAATCCCTCCACTGGCCTCCACTCAGTGTCCTCCACCCCTCTCTGCCAATCCCTCCACTGGCCTCCACTCAGTGTCCTCCACCCCTCTCTGCCAATCCCTCCACTGGCTTCCCATTGCCCAACGGATAAAATTCAAAACACTAACAATAACGTATAAATCCATTTATAACTCTGCCCCAAATTACATCACCGATCTTGTCTCCAAATATCACCCAAACCGTCCTCTCCGCTTTCTAGTCTCTAGCTCCCTTGTCTCCTCCTCCCATGCTCGTCTCCAGGACTTCTCCAGAGCTTACCCCATCCTCTGGAACTCGCTACCCCAATTTATCAGACTATCGCCTACTCTGTTCACTTTTAGGCGATCTCTGAAAACCGATCTCTTCAGGGAAGCCTATCCTGCCCTCAGCTAATACTGGCATCTTCTATTCTTCCAACCAGTCCATCCCCTACAGTTACTACCTTTTGTACCACTAGCCCCTCCCTCCTAGATTGTAAGCTCCAAGGAGCAGGGCCCTCCTATCCCTCTTGTATTGAACTGTATTGTTGCTGTATTGTCTCCCGTTATATTGTAAAGTGCTGAGCAAACTTTTGGCGCTCTATAAATCCTGCATAATAATAATATAAAATGAGTCTCTTTTCATGTGTGATCTCTATTCTGCCGTCAGATCCCCAGAATCCATTGGGAGCTGAGCACCAAGCGGCTCCTGGTGATGGAATACGTGGAAGGTGGACAGGTGAATGACAGGGAGTACATGGAGCGCCATAAGATTGACGTTAATCAGGTGAGGGGGGGGTTGGGCGCTTTGTTCTTCTTCGCAGTAAAGGGTTAACAAGTTTTGTGTTGTGTATGACAAGGGGGGGGGGAGCTTCCTTGTGTCAGCAGGACTCCCCCCGCAGGGTCTGTGTCTCCAGAGCTGTAATTAGGGCTGCCATATCCTTAATACATGGGTTGAAGAAGACTGAACAATACTCTGCACCCTCTGCAAGAACGGCAACCCTCAGAGAGGGAGGATTCCCTGTTCCTTCATCACTGCCGAGGATTTAACCAGAACACTGCCGGGCGCACGGCTACATCTCCATTGCTGACTATTGCTGGTTGTCACCGCTGCATACCCAGAACAAGGATGCTTGGGTCACATTCCCACCGATGTCACCCGTCTGTAATGTACACATAGGCTGCATTCTCAGTGATGTCACTGGTCTCTAGTGATTGGATAGGCTTCATTCTCAGTGATGTCACTGGTCTCTAGTGATTGGATAGGCTTCATTCTCAGTGATGTCATTGATCTCTAGCGAATGGATAGGCTGCATTCTCAGTGATGTCATTGATCTCTAGTGAATGGATAGGCTGCATTCTCAGTGATGTCACTGGTCTTTAGTGTTTGGATAGGCTTCATTCTCAGTGATGTGACCGGTCTCTAGCGAATGGATAGGCTGCATTCTCAGTGATGTAATTGGTCTCTAGTGAATGGATAGGCTGCATTCTCAGTGATGTCATTGGTCTCTAGTGACTGGATAGGCTGCATTTTCAGTGATGTCACCGCTCTTTAGCGAATGGATAGGCTGCATTCTCAGTGATGTCACTGCTCTTTAGTGAATGGATAGGCTGCATTCTCAGTGATGTCATTGGTCTATAGCAAATAGATAGGCTGCATTCTCAGTGATGTCACCGCTCTTTAGTGAATGGATAGGCTGCATTCTCAGTGATGTCACTGGTCTCTAGCGAATGGATAGGCTGCATTCCCGGTGATGTCATTGGTCTCTAGTGAATGGATAGGCTGCATTCTCAGTGATGTCATTGGTCTCTAGTGAATGGACAGGCTGCATTCTCAGTGATGTCACCGCTCTTTAGGGAATGGATAGGCTGCATTCTCAGTGATGTCATTGGTCTCTAGTGAATGGACAGGCTGCATTCTCAGTGATGTCACCGCTCTTTAGGGAATGGATAGGCTGCATTCTCAGTGATGTCACTGGTCTCTAGCGAATGGATAGGCTGCTTTCTCAGTGATGTCAATGGTCTCTAGCGAATGGATAGGCTGCATTCTCAGTGATATTACTGGTCTCTAATGATTGAAGAAGTCTGTATTCTCACTGTTTTCCCTAATACTTTGTGAATGGATAGGTTGCACTCTCAGTGATGTCACTGGTCTCTAGTGAATGGATAGGCTGCATTCTCAGTGATGTCACCAGTCTCTAATAAATAGATAGAGGTTGCATTCTAAGTGAGGTCACTGGTCTCTAATGATTGAATAGTCTGCATTCTCATTGATTTCCCTGGTCTCTAGTGAATGAATAGGTTGCACTCTCAGTGATGTCTCTAGTAAATGGACCAGCCATATTCTCAGTGACTTCCCTGGTCTCTAGTGGATGGATAGGCTGCATTCACTGTAGTGTCACCTGTTGTAGTATTTGGGAAGGGTACATTTCCAGTAATGTCAACGGTTTCTAGAAACTGGATAGGCTGTCTTCCCAGTGACATCACTAGTCTCTAGTGAATAGATAGGCTGCATTCTCTGTGATGTCACTGGTCTCTAGTAATTGGATAGGCTACATTCTCAGTGATGTCACCACCATTGTGCTGCCTGGTGCACACCCAAGTCTCGGCATTGGCAAGCCACTAAAACGTTCTTCAGCTCCAGTTTGAATTGTGTAAAATATATATATATATATATATATATATATATATATATATATATACATATACATACAGTGAAGGAAATAAGTATTTGATCCACTGCTGATTTTGAATGTTTGCCCACTCGCAAAGAAATGATCAGTCTAAAAATCAAATGGTGGGTTTATTGTAACACTGAGGGACAGAATAGCAACAAAAAATTCAATAGAAATGCATGTCTAACAAATGATGACTGATCTGCATGTTCATGAGGGAAATAAGGATTTGATCCCCTATCATTCAGCAGGATTTCTGGCTACCTGCTGCTAATCTCATTTTGTTACCTGTATAAAGGACACCTGTCCACAGGAGCAATCAATCACATTCCAAACTCTCCACCATGGCAAAGACCAAAGAGCTGTCCATGGATGTCAGGGACAAGATTGTAGACCTACACAAGGCTGGACTGGGCTACCAAACTATGGCCAAGCAGCTTGGTGAGAAGGTGACAACAGTTGGTGCAATCATTCACAAATGGAAGAAACACAAAACAAGTGTCAGTCTCCCTAGGTCTGGTGCACCATGCAAGATCTCACCTCATGGAATGTCAATGATCATGAGAACAGTGAGGAATCATCCCAGAACTACATGTGAGGATCATGTCAATGATCTCCAAGCAGCTGGGACCACAGTCGCCAAGAAAACAATTGGTAACACACTACGCCGACAAGGACTGAAATCCTGCAGTGCCCGCAAGGTCCCTCTGCTCAAGAAAGCACATGTCCTGGCCCGTCTGAAGTTTGCCAATGAACATCTGAATGATGCAGAGGAGGACTGGTTGAAAGTGTTGTGGTCAGATGAGACCAAAATCGAGCTCTTTGGCATCAACTCAACTGGCCGTGTTTGGAGGAGGAGGAATGCTGCCTATGACCCCAAGAACACCATCCCAACTGTCAAACATGGTGGAAACATTCTGCTTTGGGGGTGTTTTTCTGCTAAGGGAACAGGACAACTGCACCGCATCAAAGGGACGATGGATGGGGCAATGTACCATCAAATCTTGGGTGAGAACCTTCTTTCCTCAGCCAGGGCATTGAAAATGGGGGATGGACGGGTGTTCCAGCATGACAATGACCCAAAACACACGGCCAAGACAACAAAGGAGTGGCTCAAGAAGAAGCACATTAAGGTCCTGCAGTGGCCTAGCCAGTCTCCAGACCTTCATCCGATTGAAAATCTGTGGAGAGAGCTGAAAGTTCTGAAAGTTATTTCCTTCACTGTATGTATGTATATGTATGGGTCCTCATGCATGGAGAAGACTGGTGTGATTTTTCTTGCATTTAATGTGCCTTTAACTACTTTTTGCTTTTAACTACTTTTTACTGTTATTTTATTTATTTTTATTAGAGAAGAAATCCTAACAAATAATCCAGTTTAAAGCCAAATTCCAACTGTTTAGACAGCAAAAAATCTCAGCAGTCTTCTATGTACAGTTTCAGTAGATACATACGTTATTTCATTTGTTGGTTTAATTTCTTGTATTTTTACACCATTATCATTTTTTTTGGGAATTTGGAGCTATATGGTGGAGTTAAAACAAAAAATCTTGTGTGCAGGCTCTGCTTCTCTCCTAAGTCTGGTCTGCTGTGAGCTGTAATTTGCATGGCCGACAGCAGCAAGCAGATTGGAATATTTTTCTAAAAAAACTAGGCGGGGCTGGGACACGCAAAGGTGAAGAATTCTGGGAAAATTTAAAAAATGAAGAATGTGCAGCTAATATGTCTTCGGTGTGCTGAACGTCTCCTGTCTTGTCAGGTGTCTCGTGCTCTGGGGAAGCTGTACAGTGAAATGATTTTTGTCCATGGTTTTGTTCACTGCGACCCCCACCCGGGCAATGTTTTGGTCCGACAGAGTGCAGAAATCGGAGGACCGGAGATCATCCTGCTGGACCATGGATTGTACCAGGTAGAGAAAAGTGTGTGTGTGGGGGGGAGGGGGGGGGGGGGGGGGGGAGGTCAACATATCCATATTTATCCCCATTTCAAGACTGGGATGGCTGATTACTGTATTTCTTCCACAGAAACTAACGGACACCTTCCGCCTGGACTACTGTCGCCTTTGGCAGGCGTTAATTGCTGCGGACATGGAGGGGATCCGCATATACAGCCAGCGAATGGGAGCTGGAAATTTATACCCCCTCCTCGCCTGCATGCTGGCTTTCCGCTCCTGGAAGGTTGTGAATCGGGGTATCGATCGCAGGCCGGCTACTAAGGAAGAGGTGGGTGTTTGAAGATCTCTCTATAGGTTTGTGATCAGTAGACGGCGTGCACCATTTCCCCATGTATCTACCAGGTGTGCTAGGTATTTAACACGGGCGTGTCTTAGAGTATAGGAAACCTATAAGGGTGTTGGGTCAGTTGTATTATAACTTTTTTAATTTGTAATGTTTTTTATATGCTTTTGCGCATGCTTTTCTAATGTTGTACATTGTACAGATAATTCAGCATTGCACCAAAGACAAAGAATTCACGGAGAGATAAAGGTATTCTAAAGGGAGAAAGGAGCAGAAGCGTCTCTTGGTGACTGTCTGTCTGATTGTGAACTGAGCAGTCTGAACAGAGGGAAGGGGGGGGGATCACTTCAGCTTGGACGGTTTGTATTCAGCAGAACAGCGGGTGGAGCCTGGGAACAGTGACCCCTCCTGGGCTGATTTTATGAGTGGGGGTGCCAGGGGTTATGGGTAAAAGCCATCGTAGGCGAAAAAGAATGAGAGGGAGGGAGAGAGGAGAGCTGAGGGAGGAGGAGAAAAAAGAATCTCCCCCCTCCACCTCCCTTGTTCTTCCCCCTCCATCTCCCTGCTCCCCTATTCTATTCAGGATCACCTCTCCCTTCTCTTCCCCTCCATCTCTCTCTTTCTCGTGGAGGAAAGAATTCCCTCCAGGATAAAGAATGAAACCCTCCATCCCTCTCCTCCTCTCCCCAAAATTAAAGAATCCCCCAACCCTCCAGAGAGAAGAATGAGGGTCCTCCATCTTTATCCCCCAACCCTCCATCCCTCTCTTCCTCTCTCCTCCAAAAATCCCCCAACCCTCCATCCCTCTCTTCCTCTCTGAGGGTCCATCTTTATCCCCCAACCCTCCATCTCTCTCTTCCTCTCCTCCTCCATGGGAGGGGGAGTGATCACCTCCTCTCCTGAGGGTCCAGGGGGGAGAATTTTTTCTCCATCCAGACTCTGTCCTCCTCTCCTGTCCAGGGTTATCCCTCTCCTCCCCTCCATCTATTCATCTTGCTTCTCCTCCTTCGTGGATCCTCTTTCCTTCCAGAGGGAATCCTTCTCCTCCCTCCATTCCTCTCTTCCTCTACCCTCCATAGAGTAATCCGAATGTGGGTCCCTCCATCTCTCCCCTCTGATCCCCTCCATCTTTAGGGTCCTTCTCCTTCCATCTCTCTCCTCCTCTTCCCTCCAATATCCTTGAGTCTTCCCTCCATCTCTCTCCTCCTCTCCCCTCCAGAGAACAATCCTGAGGGTCCTCCCTCCATCTCTGAGAGAAAAGAATCCTTGAAGGAGAAAAGGGATCTCTTTCCTCTTATCACCTCATCTCTCTCCTCCTTTCCCCCCTCCATCTGAGGGTCCTTCTCCCCCCTCATTCTCTTCTCCTCCCTCCATCTTTATCCTTCTCCTCCCTCCATCTTGAGGGTCTCAGGCCTCCCTCCATGAGAGAGAGGAAGTATCCCCTCCACTGCTTTATCCTTCTCCTCCCTCCATCTCTCCAAGAGGTTCCCCCCCTCCATCTTTCTCTCCCCCCACTGCGAATCCATCTCTCTCTCTCCATCTCTCTCTCTCTCTCTCCCCTCCCCCTCTCTCTCTCTCCCCCTCTCTCTCTCCCCTCTCTCTCTCTCCCCTCTCTCTCTCTCCCCTCTCTCTCTCTCCCCCTCTCTCTCTCTCCCCTCTCCTCTCTCTCCCCTCTCTCTCTCTCCCCTCTCTCTCTCTCTCCCCTCTCTCTCTCTCCCCCTCTCTCTCCCCTCCCTCTCTCTCTCCCCTCTCTCTCTCTCCCCCTCTCTCTCTCTCCCCTCTCTCTCTCCCCCTCTCTCTCTCTCTCTCCCCTCTCTCTCTCTCCCCTCTCTCTCTCTCCCCCCCCTCTCTCTCTCCCCCCCCTCTCTCTCTCCCCCCCCTCCTCTCTCTCCCCCCCCTCTCTCTCTCTCTCCCCCCCTCTCTCTCCTCCCCCTCTCTCTCCTCCCCCTCTCTCTCCTCCCCCCTCTCCCCCTCCCCCCTCTCCCTCCCCTCTCTCTCTCCCCCCCTCTCTCTCTCCCTCCCCCTCTCCCCCCTCTCTCTCCCCCTCTCTCTCCCTCCTCTTCTTTCTCCCCCCTCTTTCCCTGTCTCTCCCCCCTCTCCCTCCCTGTCTCTCTCCGCGTCTCTCTCTCTTTCCTTGTCTATCCCCCCTCTCTCTCCCCCTCTCTCTCCCCTCTTCTTTCTCCCCCCTCTTTCCCTGTCTCTCCCCCCTCTCCCTCCCTGTCTCTCTCCGCGTCTCTCTCTCTTTCCTTGTCTATCCCCCCTCTCTCTCTCCCTCTCTCTCTTTCTCCATCTTTCTCTCTCTCTCTCCCCTCCCTCCCTGTCTCTCTCCGTGTGTGTCTCTCCCTCTCCCTCTCCCCCCCCTCTCTCTCTCTCCCTCTCCCCCCTCTCCCCCTCTCTCCCTCTCTCTCTTTCTCCATCTCTCTTTCTCTCTCTCTCTCCCATCCCCCATGCTCTCCAGTTCTTTTTCTTTCTCCTTTTTGTCTTTTGTGTGTGTTGCTGTCACCCAATGTCTCTCGTCTGCAGCTGGCTTCAGAGTATTCTGCCTGTGATAACATGTAATTAGTTGTGTCTGTAATTAGTGCCTTGTTCAGTGCGGGACGTGCGTGTTTAACCAGTGCCTTCAAGAAATGTAACCGTTTCATGTCTACATTTACGTGTCCGTTTGTCAGGTGACATATTTATCATGGCTGATTACACGCCGGTTTCATATAGGAGTTGTGTACATCTAACCATAAATGACACAAGTGCCTTTTCCTTCATCTGTAACCACCATGACAGACTGAAGGAACCTGCAAACTTCTTTTTTTCTTATGTTCTCTATATCCAGCGGTATCACCTAAGAGCCCATTCACACTTGTGCGACTTTTCATGAGAAATTGGGATCCAAAGTCGCATGACAAGTCGCACCCCATGATTCCCAATGAGTACCATTCATATCTGTGCAAATTCAAGTCACAGCTCCTTGAAAGTAGTTCCTGCACTGCTTTGGTTCGACTTTCATGCCGCTTGAGGACCATAGACTTCAGTGTAAACCCTCCACAGATGCATGAAAGTCACACCTAAATGATATACATGCGACTTGTGTGCGACTTTGTACAGCACAAACCATTAACCTTGGTTAAAGCCAAAGTCACACTCATCCAAATTCGCATCAAAGTCATGTCAAAGTTGCACTGTAAAGTCACAATGAAAATCGCACGATTTTGAAGTTGCACAAGTGTGATTGAAGCCTAATCTAACAACTTTTGATCATGTGACATCTGTGGATCCACATATAAGTTATATTACACAGCAGTGACATCACCGATCGAGGTTATATTATACAGAAGTGACATCATCTCTCTCTCTCTCTCTCTCCAGGCTCAGGAGATTCGCAGGAATGCTACGGCCTTCCTACCTCTGATCAGCCAGCTTCTTGCCAGTGTCCCACGTCAGATGCTTCTCCTCCTGAAAACCAATGACCTGCTGCGTGGGATTGAGACGGCCCTGCACACACGGACGAGTTTCAACTCTTTCCTCAGCATGTCCCGTTGCTGCGTTCGAGCTCTTTCCAGCAGTGTTCGATCTCACTGACGCTGCTCCACTTCCTCATCCCTCCACCCTCCATTGGCACTCATCCTCCTCATAGAGGGGCAGTGAGCGGGTACGAGTTGCAGAACTGAGGAAGAACTTTGTATTGCTACTCCTGGTGAGGCATCTGTCAGCCTTACAGAGCATAGGGAGGTCCCATACTGACTTCTATGGCCTCTCCTGTGTCCTGTGTGTATCAGCCCCATCATCCTCAGTCTGCAGATAAGAAATACACGTATCTAAGGTGCCATCTCAGGCCTGGATCACATCTGAATGCCAAGTGCCGCCACCTATAGAAAGTGTATATATTCTACTCTGTTATCAAAGCAAGTAAGGAATTTGGCATCAAAATATCAACCTTCCTCTTAGAAAAACTATTGTTTTTATTATTATACATTTATATAGCTCTGACATATACTGCAGTGCTGTACAGAGAACACTGAGCCAGTCACATCAGTCTGTGCACCAGAGGAGCTTACACTCTAAGTGTGTCCCACCACAGTCACACTATTAAACATTTATAGAGCTCTGACATATATCGCAGTGCTGTAGAGCAGTGGTCTCCAAACTGCGGCCCTGGGGCCAGATGTGGCCCTTTGTTTGCTTGTATCCAGCCCTCAGGGCACTATTTCATTCACTGATGCCAACAATGGGGCACAATTATTCCCAATGATACCAGTAATGGGGCCCACTGACACCAATGATGGGGCATAATTTCCCCCCCGTGACAACAATGATGGGGCACTATTCAGTCATATGACACCAATCATAGGGTGCAATTTCCCTCAATGACACCAACAATGGGACCCAATGACACCATTGATGGGGCACAATTCTTCTGACATCACTGGTGTGGCACAATTCCTCTAACATCACTGATGGGGCACAATTGCTTCCACTGACGCCAAAGATGGGTCATTGTTTTTCCCCACTGACTTCGGGACCTTTTCTATTGCCAATGGCCATAGTCCGGTCCCCTAAAGTCTGAAGGACCATAAACTGGCAGTTTGCCTAAAAAAGTTTGGGGACCCCCTCTGTAGAGAGAACACTGAGCCAATCAGTCTCGGCACCAGAGGAGCCTACACTCTAAAACCCTCCCAGTCATACATTATATTATTATACTTTTATATAGCGCTGACATATACCACAGTGCTGTACAGAGAACACTGAGTCTTTCACTTCATTCTCTGCACCAGAGGAGCTTACACTCTAATGTCCCACCACAGTCACACACTATTGTCTGTACCAGAGGAGCTTACACTCTGCACCAGAGAGGTTGTGCTGCAGTTGCTCTCCCTCTCCAAACACGAGGGGGCCAGGCCTGCTCGCCTGGCCCCAGAAACATGGCCTCTTCTGGGCTAGGCTCAGACCATGCTCCCCCTGAGGGACCCAGCTTGCCTTCCCATACTTCACCAGCACCTGAAGACCTTAGCTGTGGCCCTAAAAGTGGGGAATCCCTCCCTGTCTTCAGAGAGCGGGTTGCTGATTATCTGGTGAGAATCGCAAAGGAGGAGGAAAAGTTGGTGAGTCTGAAAACTGACTACAAGAAGAAGAAAGTTCTCCATGATAAGTCATGGAGCAGCAAGAGGCAGAGCATGAAGCCGGAGATGAAGGGTTTGGAGGTCGCCATTAAGAAGCAGCAGAATCTGGTAAAGACGCTGAAGGAGAAGAGCGGAGCTTTTAGAGAAAAGTTCAGGAATGAGGAAAGGTTCCGGAAGATGAAAGGAGACTCCGGTAAGGATTCAGCATCGGCGGTGGCAGTACGGGTGGAGAGTGAGGAGGGGGGTCCTGGATGCTGCCCCTGGTATCCCATCCACCTCAGGATCTGCTTCCCTGGAGGAAATGTTGGCCTCTGCATACCTCCCTCCACAGCAAGCTGGAGGAACAGCACAGGAGGTAAAGGAACATGGCGGAGGGCTGCTAAAGTACATTGAGGAATTGGAGTCTTTCCTAATTGGAAGAACCTTCCGCTTTTCTGAGGACTCTGAGGATGAAGATGACGGTGAGGACTCTGTACCTGGTCCTGTAAAGGAGAAAAAAACAGAAAAGCCGCGCTTTATTAAAAGTGACAGTTTGGACTCCAACATGGACAGCCATGTGCACTGCAGTGTTTTGGAGGGAAATCCTCCTGTGTGTGCACAGAGCTCTGCAGGGAAGATGGCTGCTGTGCCTGCAGGACTGCACTCTGCTGGGACTGTGGACTCTGATACCAGGAACCCGGGGACTGTGGACTCTGCTGGGGGGAAGGTAAAGGGGGGATCTGAGACTATTGTTGGACAATCCCTGCTGATGGCTGCAAATGCAGCAGAAAATGGTGGGAGGGAAAATGTCAGCAGCACTCTGAAAGGTGTTGCTGAAACCCAGGGGAGAGTGACCAGGAGTGGAAGACTTTTACCTAAGAGGAGTATGTTGGGGGAGGGGGAGACAGGAGCATCTGGGTGTGAGTGGGTCTGCTGGGAGTAGTAGTGCCACGAGTGAAAGGAAACCTATGGATGATAAGAGTGCTTGCAATGCTGGAAAGGGGAATGCCTGTGTGTTGGTGGATGGAGTGACTGCTGCCTCTGATGGTGGTTTGCAGAGCGGGGGCTCTGAGGTTCCTGCAACCAATGGGCAGGGTGCAGCTTTAAGGTCCACTACAACTAATGCTGCAAATAAGACCTATGCTGGGGCTCTGACTGGGAGGAGGGGGTCACATCATGTTGTCAGCTCTGGGGGGAGGTCTGCTGCAGGTCTGCCATCTGCACCCCTGTCCTTCAGGAGGAGGAATTTGGTGCAGCTCAGATGGGAAGGTGGGGGTGCTCCCCCGGTCAGGAAGTTGGTGGTGGACAGGATTTTGGAGATGGGGTTTAGGGCGGATGACATCTTCGCCTTTATCAGCCCTGTAGGATCCTATGACTATGGCCTGTCCTTTGTGCGCCCCGAGTCTCTGGATATATTCTGGGAGAAGTATGAACACATGTATAAGGGTCTGCCGGAGTGGAAGAGACTCGTCCCAAAGGTTGTCTCACGCCAACCTCTAGTGAAGACGGTCACCATTCTAGTACGGAATGAGTCAATTCCTTCGGGTGACTTGGCTGTCTGGCTGAGGAGATTTGGGGAGCTACTGACCCCCCTGAAGAAGATTGTGGATGAGAGAGGGATATGGACTGGTGGGGTGGTCGGTGCAGATGAGGTTGTATGTGTGTGGGAATGTGGTCCAGCATCTGCCCTCCTCAGCCTTCATTGGGAAGGACAGGATTGTGGGTGTTCTACCCTGGACAGCCCAAGCTCTGCAATAAGTGCGGTTCTCGGGGTCACTTGGCCTCCTCATGTCCAGAGATGAAGTGCTCTCTATGTCAGGATCTGGGGCATCTGGCTAGGGATTGTAACATCATTAGGTGCAATCTGTGTGATAAGGTTGGCCATTCGTACAACCGGTGCCCTGAGGCCATGCACAACCAGTCAGCTTTGGTGGAAGAGTTTTTTCGTCTGGACATGGAGGAGGCAGAGGAGAGGGAGGCTGTGCCAGGGGTCCCCAATGTCTCTGTCCCTGTGGTCCCAGTGTCTGATGGTCCCTCTAATGTGTCATCTCCTTGTGTTGTGCCCCCTGAGTCAGTGTCCATGGATGTTGTGTCTGATCCTCCTGTGTCAGTTTCCCCAGAGGTAGTGGGGGCTGTGGAGGGAGCTGGACCAAAGTGTATGGTTGCACCGACCCCCGCTCCCCAGCGTCTGAGGGTCAGAGGGCGTGAGGCGCTGGGGGATGGAGTGAATGATGGTGGGGGTGTTGTGGTGAAGGTTGGGGGGACTGCTGTTGTGAGTGGAGAGAGTAGGGTGGATGATGTTGTGGGTGATAAGGGAAGGGGAGGGGGCTTTGCGGTCCGGTTTATCAAATGATGATATGGAGTGGTTGGAGGCAAAAAGGAAGTCTGGGAAGAAGAAGCGGAAGAAAGATGTGCCTGTACCTGACCCTGGGAGGGTGGAGGTGTCAAACACTTTTGATGTGTTATCTGAGGTGGAGGATGAGGGATCTGGGTGATGAGTCTCTGGTTTGGGATGGAGGTGGTGGAATCACAGAGGACTATGAAGCGTTTGTAGGGTCTGTAGGGTGGTTGTCTGGTAGGGGGGGGGTAAGCAGGCTAAGTTTGGGGTACCTCGATCATCCTGATGGCGGTTCCCACTTCTTTAAAGGTGGCGACCATTAATGTCGCCAGCATAAAATCAGTAAGCGCTCGTAACATGGCCTTATTTTTGCTCAGCAGGTTTGATGCTGACATTTTCTTTTTGCAAGAGACCAGGTTGTCCAGTTTGGGGGATGTTCATATGGTGAACAAGGTGGTGGAGGCGCGGCCCCTCCTTCTGGTCTCTTGCGGCCGAGCTTTACACTGGAGTTGTTGCGGGTACTTTTTTTTCCGGCATGGTAACCTGTCGGCGGATTATTGAGGTAGAAATGGGGAGATGCATGGTCTTAGAAGTCTCCATGGGGGGGCAGGACCTGCGTCTGATTAACATCTATGGGCCCCAGACAAAATGGGACAGGAAATGCCTCTTCATGAAGATCAAGCCTTTCCTTTTTACAGCCCAGCAAGTTGTCTTCGGTGGTGACTTTAACACCATCACTAGGACTAAGGACAGGAGAGGGACCGGAGTCAGGCTGGACTGTGACGGGTTTTTTTTTAAACAAAAATAGCTAGAGAGGCAGGTCTGGTTGATGTGCACATTCATTGCTGCCCAGACGACACGGGATTCACTTTTCAGCGAGGTTCTAGTCAGAGTAGAATAGATAGGTTTTTTTTAAAGGGGAACTCCGCCTTCTCGGCACCAGTGTGTCAGGCGGTGGAGTTTTCCGATCACTGTATTCTGTCTGTGACTCTGAGTGGCCCCGATACACCACCTAAGGGGAGGGGTACCTGGAAGCTGAATTCGGCACTCCTGGACGATGAGAAGGTGAGTCAATCCTTTGAGGATTTTTTTCAGGCACAGGTATCAATCATGGACGTTTGCAGCA